TTAAAAAAAAAGTGTCCATAGAGCTGAAAAATACCCAGAAAAAATTTCAGCCCCGTCAGTGAGATTTTTCAGAAAAGGGGCTTGTAATAAAAGTCCTTGCTCAATGGTAATCATAATTTCAGTGCCTCCGTGGAACATTATATGATCTATTCTCTTTAAAGCCACTTATACATTTGATATTATGAAATCAGATCTTTCTGAATAGGTGTGTACTTTCACAACAGCTTGGGGCTGACCTCTAGTGTCAGTAGAGCTCAATTACTTTACTAGATTATCTTAAATGGCTGTGCAAGATGTTAGACCAGGGCTACTCAACTCTGGAAGCCCCAGGGGCCACAATCAGTGCTTTTTTTTGTTTATAAAAAAAAAAAAAAAAGTGCCAGTACTCCAGGGGAAAAGTTGTTGAGCTCTGACTGGAGGTGCCGGTACTGCATACCAGGCAGTATCATCACAAAAAAAGTACTGGCCACAATGATACTCATGGCACATGCCGAGGGCCACAACTTAAGTGTAGTTGCATATACATGCAAATATGTATGCAAATATATATAAATAGCTCTTTCACACTGACGGGCATGAATACAATGATTAAGGCAAGACTACACAACAGGTAGGGCCCATTTAAGTCTGTTCCACTGATATTATAAAACGCAATATTTACCCGATTTCCACCCATATAACAGCACTTTTAATGAGAAATGACAGTCCAGGAATTTAACTACTAAAACACATATCAACAGAAGACCATTGTATTGACTACTTTTTTGTTTTGGCTCCCACCCACAGGCCATGTGTTGAGCCCCGCATAAACCCAAACAGCACCGTGGGCCGCAAACAAATGGGCTGTGGGCCACATGTGGCCCGCGGGCCATGTGTTGAGAAATCCTATGTTAGATCAAATGCTTTCTGATTTTCTCATGTACCACTAACATTCTTGCATGTGTGAGACAGAGTCCTGCCTCATTCCTTAAATACCTTAGCAGTAAATAAAGCAAGAGCTGCTCATACACTGAGCACTTTCATTACATTTTTCACCATGAAATTAATTTAGCCATATGTACACCCAGAGTGTAGTTTTTGTTTTTTTTAAATAGCTCTTTTATGGCCCGGTGAGAATACTCCATGAAGTATGTACTGATGTTTACAGAGTGCAATTTTCAATAGATAACTGCAACAGAAAAACAAACCAGTATTTGCCAAAACATTCAAATCACACCTGTCAATGTCCATTTTTAAAGTAAATCTTACTGGTTCACAGAAGAATAGTTGTAGAGTACAAAGTTGGAAATATTTTATTCTAAAGAGGAAAGTGTATTTATTTCCCATTCTCATACTCAAAAGGATGTTTTGCCAAAACAATTGATCTTCAGACAAAAGCCAACCCTGGGAAATATCAGCCCAAAACCAAAATTTTTAATTATTTATAAGTGGGATGTTAGTATGGAAGTCTCTTGAAAAGTCAATTATGTTGGCCTGTTAGACTATAGCTCACAGTTACTCTAATGTTGTTCACACTTTTCCCTATTCTCTGATATAGTCCCATTCACTCTTAACATGTGAGGTGAAGTTCCCTGTGAGTTTCACTTTTGACACCATGTAATACTTTTGATGTGCTATGAGTCTTCTGATCTGCTTGCCATTTTCATTCAACCTTCTATGCACTTTCACTCCTAAACAGAAACAGGCTAGCACTTAGTGTATATTTAACTGTTTGGAGGCTTCATTGCCACCTGTAAATTATTTAAACCAGCCTAAGTTCTGCTTAAAAAAACTACTTTTATCTTAAACAAAAGACAGAACTATGTAGCACTTTAAAGACTAACAAGATGGTTTATTAGGCGATGAGCTTTCGTGGACCAGACCCACTTCCTCAGATCAATATGTGGAAGAAAATTGGCACAACCATATATACCAAAGTGATACAATCAAAAAAAAGTGAACACGTATAAAAATGACAAATCAGGTTTAAGAACAGAGGAGGGGTGTGGGGGAGAAGGTTAGTGTCTGTGAGGTAATGACATTAGGGGTGATAATTGGGGAAGCTATCTTTGTAATTGGTGAGATAATTAGCATCTTTGTTGAGACCCATACGTAGAGTGTTAAATTGAAGCATGAATGACAATTCTGAAGCTTCTCTTTGAAGTCTGGAGTTAAATGTCCAACCTAAACCTCCCTTGCTGCAGTTTAAGTGCATTGCTTCTTGTTCTATCCTCAGAGGGAAGGAAGAACAAGTTTTCTCCCTCCTCCTTGTGACACCCTCTTAGATACCGGAAAACCGCTATCATGTTCCCTCTCAATCTTCTCTTTTCCAAACTAAACAAGTCCAATTCTTTCAGTCTTCCTTCACAGGTCATGTTCTCTAGACCTTTAATCATTCTTGTTGCTCTTCTCTAGACCTTCTCCAATTTCTCCACATCTTTCTTGAAATGTGGTGCCCAGAGCTGGACACAACATTCCAACTGAGGCCTAATCAGCGCAGAGTAGATCGGAAAAATGACTTCTCATGTCTTGCTCACAACACTTCTGTTAATGCATCCCAGAATCATGTTTGCTTTTTTTGCAACAATGTCACACTGTTGACTCATATTTAGCTTTTGGGCCCTAGATCCCTTTCTGCAGTACTCCTTCCTAGACAGTCACTTCCCATTCTGTATGTGTGAAATGGATTGTTCCTCCCTAACTGGAGTACTTTGCATTTACCCTTATTAAACTTCATCATATTTACCTCACACCATTTCGTCCAGATCATTTTGAATTATGAACCTATCCTCCAAAGCACTTGCATCCCCTCACAACTTGGTATCATTTTCAAATTTTAAAAGTATACTTTCTGTGTCATCATCTAAATTGTTGATGAAAATATAGAATAGAACAGGTCCCAAAACAGTCCCCGTGGAACCCCACTTGTTATGCCCTTCCAGCATGACTGTGAACCATTAATAAATATTCTCTGAGAACATGTATACTGTCAGATATGCACCCACCTTATAGTAGCCCCATCTAATTTGCATTTCCCTAGTTTATTGATAAGAAGGTAATGCGAGACTGTATCAAATGCCTTACTAAAGGTATACCACATCCACCACTTCTCCCTTATCCACAAGACTTGTTATCCTATCAAAGAAAATGATCAAGTTGACTCAACATGATTTGTTCTTTACAAATCCATGCTGGCTGTTACCTTTAAAAGAGGCATGTTGGATAGATTCGTAAAGGAACATATGAGAATCAGGGGGACTGCAAAGAAGGTTACAAAAGTCAAGGAGAAAGATGACCAGGCATGCAGAAGGGTATTAGCAACAGGAGTACTGAAGAGAGTACAGGTTTTGCTGATAAAATGCAAATGAGGTGTAAGTGGACCTGCCCGGTGAGGCTGAGAGGCAGCGGGGCTAACACCCTGTGGAGCAGCTAAACCCCAGCGGGGAGCCCAGCAATGGGGTTCTGCGTGCCAACAATGGGGCTGCCACAGTGGGGCCTTGAGCCCTGCATTGGAGGGGCCGGAGGCAGGGGGAAGCTGGTGGGAGGCTGGCAGTGAGGCCATGACTGGGGGACTGGTGACAGGGGGAACCAAGAAATGACCTTCCCTGGTCCAGCAAAATCCTTCATTCAGGACCAGTCAGGTCCTGAGGGCGCTGGACCAAGGAGATCCAACCTGTAATACAGGTTAGGGAAGTTTACTCACCAGGTACAGTAACTGGAATTGTTTGAGATGGTTGTCCCCGTAAGTGCTCCACCTTCAGGTTTGTCAGTGCCACTGTGCTCTTGATTGGAGATTTGTGAGAGCAGTGCTCTGTGGCCAGCTGCGCGTGTGGAGTGCCAGCGCGTACAATCTAGGGTGGCTACTGTGCATGCGCAGCCGACCACTTTCTCTGTTCCTTCTCTGAGCCAGACTTGCTGGAGTCTGAAGCAGGGGGGATGGAGAGTGGGTGGTGAAGCACCCATGGGGACAACCATCTCGAAGAACTCCAGTTACTACACCTGGTGAGTAACCTTCCCTTCTTCTTCGAGGAGTGTCCCTGTGGGTGTTCCACCTTCAGGTGATTACAAAGCAGTTGTTGTAGATGGAGGAGGGAGCTTTGGCAGGTGAGAGTCTGTGACTGAGAGTATCATGTGGCCAAATCTCATCTCTACATCTGCGAATGTTTAGAACGCACAATGCTGCATGAAGGTGTGCATGGATGCCCATGTGGCAGTCTTGCAGATGTGTTCTGTGGGGACACCGTGAAGGAATGCTGTAGTAGCTGCCATAGCCCTTCTGGAGTACAGGGTGGTGGCTCTCTCCCTGCTAAGATGTAGGATTCTGCTAAGATGTAGGATTCAGCCTATTTTGACATTCTTTGTTTTGATATGCGTAACCCTTGTGACCTCTCTGCGTCTAGCAGAGGTAATTGCTACAAGGAAGGCCACTTTCATGGACAGATATAACAATGAATACGTGGCTAGGGGCTTGCCCATGAGAACTTTTAGCATGAGGTTCAAGTCCCATTCTGGAATTGGGTCCTTACATGGGGGAAACATGTTGTGTAGCCCCATAATAAAGCATTTTATGGAGGGGTATGGTTCCTAGTTGAACAATGACTGGAATTCTCTGAATGAATCTTTTCCTCATATTTAATTTCTGTAGGCAACTACTCAAATTTATAGTCAATGTATAAAAATTAAATTAGATATTGATTAAAAAGATATATGACAACTGATAATCTTTCTACCTCTAAGGAATCTTAGATGCTTAGAACTGTATAATAGTGTAACAAAACATAAAATTGTGTTTTTGCTACCTCATTTTTACCGCTAGCCTTTAACACTTATGTTTGACCACTGAAGGAGATATCTTAGTGGTAGAAACCAGAGCAATAATGCACACCATCCAACAATGCACACAGCTATATATATATATATACTACCTGAAGAAGGAAGGATTAGTTACAGATTAATTACAACAACCAAGCAAAGGAAATTAATTTAATCAAATAGCAGTGCTAAATACGTTAAATACTCACCTAATTCACTATCTCTTATTCCCATGTATATTTCAAGAAGATCGTCTACTTTTTTTATTGCTTTTTCTTCAATTTCAGAGGGCTTTATTGAAACAAAACACATAAAAGAGTTTAAATCCTAGATATAAAATGCTGTAAATTTGGTCACAAATTTAAAAAATTACCAGGCACCCAAATTAATCCAAATTTTGCCTTTAGGATTTGACTTATTCCCATTTTATTATAAATACATTGAAAGCAAATCTTCAACCTTAATGTTTTGGATTTTAGTTAAGATTTTTCCTCCTCCCTCACCCTACCCCAAAAAAGCCAAGGGTGAAATTATAGTATGATACAGTTAATGAAAAACATCTGGCTTCCTGGTGACTGCACAAGTAAAGCAGAAGAAATAAATTTCAATTTCCTTCATGACAGGCGGAGCTGAGTATTTCAGCATTGTCGGCATGGACATCAATGAAGTGAGAAATATGTCATTCACTCTCAGAGGGGGCTGACTCTTCACACTGGAGGAGTAAAATCAATTCAAGATACTTAACTCCAGCTATGTGAATTGTGTAGCTAGAGTCAATGTACCATGCATCAATTTTCTGGGGTGGCCCCACAGTTGGAGATCGATGGGAGAAACTTCCCTTACTCCTCTCAACTGCGAGGAGTTACGGGGCCAACGGGGGTGCCTTCAGGACCCTCTAAATCAAATGCCAGAAGACTGACCTCCAGAACATCTCTCTTCTTAGAAGTGTAGATATGGCTTTAATTAGCGAACCCCAGACACAGCTGGGTTGCTTTTTCCCTTCAGCAGAGCCTGTTGCAGGTAGGCAGGACATCTGACTCCCCTTAAAGGGCCAGCCTTGTGACACTTACCTACCTTTTGGTTAAGATGTACCATTGCTAGCCAGAGCTGCTGAAGGCCGGCTGTGGCAGCTGGCGCCCTAGGCGGAAGGCGCGATTGGCGCCCCCGCCTGCATGGCTGTCAATGGCCGTGATGTAATCACGGGGCGCCCGGGCCCGTGGCACCCTAGGCAACTGCCTAGTTTGCCTAGGTCCACGGGCTGCCCCGATTGCTAGCTTACCATATACGGCTGGAAAACAGATGGGACATGCCTTTAATATTTTATCATTAATAAGCTATAACTAAAAGTGAAGGCTAACGCAGAGAGATGTTTCCTTGGTCGAAGATAATTTGATATTCCTATAAATTCCTGATAAAGGGTATTGATCAGTTTTAGCAATACATTTATTTCTACTACCACATGTAGCTCTTATTCATGGACCAGGACCTGCTGTGTTAGGTGCTGTACAAACACAGAACAATCTAATAATCTCTGAATGATTTAAAATGTCAGATATTGCACAGTATACATAAATATCTGTATTGCAGATGCCACACATTCAAAAATCATGAATCAGATGCCTCAGAAAAATCACAATGATCTTAAAAATAATTATTAAAATAATAAACTTTTAACTATTTTAATTTGCCTTCTGGGCTTTGAGTTGCTGGGGTTCATGTTTTTCAGATTTTCTCCACACCCACCTGGTTTAGAAACTGTTTTGTTAACATGCAAGTTGAAATTCTCATATAATCATATGGTTCCTGGAATTAGAGCTTGAAAAGGGCAGTGGGGGGCCAGGGAAAATAAATACTGTGAGACCTGCAATAAAATCATGAGTTCAAAGCACTGATGTGTATTTCACAAGTAACCTGGCTTTAAATTTCTGTAAATATGACACATTTCCTGTTGAGCCACCTTGTTCCGTTACCCACTATTTTTATTTCTTACATCAATACCAAATGTAGCTTTAAACAAACTTGTAGTGACATTTAGCAGAGTAAGAAAACACTGACATTTTGTTGTGTTGAATTTTTCAATAAAATCCCATTTTGCCAGATAAACTTTGCTGAAGGATAAATCTGATGTTCTGCGTAAATGTAACATATGCTAAAGGTTTTAAAGGCTCTATTTACTACCATAGTATAAACTTACCACTTCCTCCACAGTGGCAGGACCTTTGGATCTCAGTCGAATGGTTTCTCTTCCCTTGGAAATTTTAGCCTCTGATAGAGTTCCACTTTTTAACCTTGGTTCAATCATTTCTATAAATAAAATAGAACTGTTAAATGTATTGTGCATTATGCTTTAGCTGACTCATTAGCTTCAGCTTTTAGGTCTACTTAAAATCTAGAGCAACTTGAAGTTACAATTTACAATATTTTAGATATAACTTGACACCCAACTGTGCATTAAAAATTCACTCCTGTGAACACCTGATCCCTTGTGGAATCCTACTTCACAAGCACAAAGAAATTACTGTACAATAAAATTAAGACTTTCCTTTGAAAAAATGCATCTATGAAGGCACAGTGCATTCTATAATATTTGTGCATATTGTGCACATCATTACTTATTATATCATACTGGGCATTGGTAAAGTACTGCAGTTTTTACTTAGGCAGAATTCTCACTGACCTCAATCCTGGATTGTGGTCCACACTAACAGGTCAAAGTTTTAGCCCAATAGGTTTAGCTTTCTTCAAGGATTACATTGTTGCCTCCTTTTGACCTGAGAGGCTAGTAAAAGTTCAGGGCCTGCGGATTCCAGCTCCACGAAGGACTTTTGTCTCTGTGCTGTTGACAATCATGCAACGTGTAGTAAGTTTTCTGTCAAGTTTATTGGACTCCAGCATGTATCCCATAATGCCCCATTTAGCCGCTCTGGTCATCACCTTAAACTAGGCTGCCCTTCAGCCACGTAAGGTTTACAGGTAAGCAGATGCTCCCCTCCCACCTACAAACCCTGGGAACTTTAAATCCATTTCCTGTGGGTCAATGTGTGATAATCCTCATGACATCTTCTCAGGAAACAGAGGTGGTGGCTATCAATCCAAATGTGCTCCTGCTTGGAGCAATGCAGAGCTTTTGGATCTAATCAGTGCATGAGGTGAAGAATCGATGTAAACAGAGCTGCAAGTGACCCATAGGAACTGGGACACGTACGGTCACATTTCTTGACCCCCAGGTGAGAAGTGGTATGAGCAAGATACCCTGCCAATGCACAGCCAAGCTCAAAGAACTCCCAACAAGCCTATGAGAAGGCAAAGGAGGCAAACAGCCAGTCAGATATGGCACCCAAATCATGCTGGTTTTACGAAGAACTAGACAGAATCCTGGGTGGGGACCCCACAATCAAACCCAAGGACACTGTGGATAGTTCTCAGAGAAAAGAGACAGAAATACTCATCCTGGATATACAGACACAAGTTGATGAAGAGAGCCGGAAGGTCAGGGTCAATCCAGTAACAATGTGCACCAGCAAGCAAGGAATTGTTCTCAAGTACCAGTTTGTGAGCATGCTCAGCAACTCTCTGTGGAAGAGATGCTGGGTGTTGAAGCAACAGAAGGGACGTGGGGTACATGGCCGTGCAGGTGGGTGAAGTTGGAGGCTGAGCAAGTGGCAGCCATGCTGAGCAGGACATTGTTCTATACAGTTGGTGAGATGGCCGCAATACGGGATGACCAGAGGCTGTATTTCTGTGAGCTAATTAGCACTCCCTAGGTCTGCCATTACGGCCAAACACTGCAACGATGCACATGTGGATAGCAATAGAACCTTCCTGGGAAATGGTGCTGAAGATTCGCCTGATGTACTATTTTTATCACAGAGATTCCACGGCAGGGCTGTGTTGGCACACATCTGTGCTATGACACTTCCCAAGGCAGCACACACTTTTGCTGCATTAATTTCAGGGTGCCCCCCAACTCGCATCCAAAAGCACAGTCCAAGTTTGCTTGTTAACCTTTAGCAGGGATCCTTGTACAACTGCTGCACAACCATGGTCTGTACTTTCTTGGGGAGTCATAACCAGCCTTCCTTTTCCCCCTCTCCCTTTTGAAAACTCACCATGATCACAGTGTCTACAGAGATCTGTGTTTGCCTCCAGGCTAATCCAAAAAAGTGGGAAGTTTTCTTCAGGGGCATGCATTTTAGTAAAATGTAACAAACTTTAATCACGGAAAGTACAGTCACTCTATTGTTAAAGGTTACTTCCACAGACCAGGCCTTGAGAAGTCAGCTACGTACACCTGCACACCATGCCAAGTGAGTAAAAAGAAGCAAAGGACATGTGCGGATCTGGCGAAGGATGTGTTGGGTCTTTCAACAAGTCAGTCAGAGAAAAAAGAGCAACAAAGAGCTTAGAGAGCAAAGATGAGCTAGGGATAATGAACACAGAAATGAGCCAGCTCATGTAGAACCCAAATGATGCCCTCAGGAGTAAAAACCTGATGAATAATAGAGACCATAACCAA